ATATTGCCTTGTGAATTGCCTCTAGTTGGTGTGTTCAGCAAGTCTCATTACATGCTGTTTATTTTTTATCCTTGACTGGTGTAATCTTCAGCTTGTCCGTTAAACATCTCTGCTCAGAAGAATTCATACTTTTGAACACTGTGGCTTCGGGGTTGTTGAGCCGGCTATGGTTTGTGTACTCAAATGTCTCTCTTGTTTGTTGTCTGTCTGTTTGATGTGCCTGTCAGGGAGAAGGGCTTGTAATTAGGCCTTGCTGCTGAGTGAGCTTTATTCAGTTGGGAGGAGGAGGAGGGGATCCCTCTATCCTTTTGGACTTGATTCTAGCACGTGGAGAGAGACTTCTTACATGCTGTTATGGAAGGCTTTGTTCTTGGTTCATAGCAAACTTTATGTAGCACTAATAAAATCATAGTGTTAATGCCAGCCTGCCACAAACACGAACATCAAGTACTCTGCAGCAAGCAGTAAGTCCTGCCTCATGCTGAAATGGAAAGGCTGGGATAAAGTTGTTCTATAATACTGCTGAGTTTTCCAGGGAAATCAGTGTTCTGGTCTCTCTCAGTACGAGAAAGTAACTGCTGTCTGTAAGTGAAGGAGTAACAGCAATGTGTAGAACAACTCAGTAAAATGTTCTTTGGCACAAGAAATCTGTCTCCCCAGTAAACGTAGAGCGTCAGTGCTAGCACCATTGTCCTGAGTTGGTACAGGTTGCTTTTCGGGGGAGACCTCATGTCAAATGATGTGGATGTGACCTGAGAACCTGGTGAGTCTCAGGTATGGCACTCAGCAAAGCTCTAGGGAAGCAGACAGGCTCCTGATCAGGGACTTACTGGTTAAGTCACTTCTACATTCTGATCTTGAACAGTTCCGTAAAGTTCAGACTAATACTAAGGAAAGCGTGGTGACAGAGTGTAGAAAGATAAGCTTGTATTGAGTGGGAATAGGGAAAGGGCAGCTTGGAATCTCTTCCATCAGCTCTTCCGCTTGAGCTAAAGGTAGTTGTTCAGTGAGCACCAGGTTTTGCTAGAGGAGACTCCATACCTTTCTGTCTTCTCTCTTTAGGATTCAGTACAGGTGTGTATTGCAGAGCCTCATGTCCTTGTATGGCATGTTGTCGACATTGCTTCATCTGGTATCTGAGACCCAACAGATGCCTTATATCAAGGGGTTTACCTTCCCTTCTGATATCAGTAACTTCCTTGGAGTTAACATTTCTTCTGAGGTGAAGAAGCAAAAGGCTAGAATGCTTACAACAAAAAAACCTACCGGCTGGCTGAAGAAGCTCTTCCCAACAGTGCCAGAGGCGGTGTCAGAGGTTGGGAAAAAGAGAAATTTTGCGACCTGCATGAGTGCTGTGAAAAACCGTAGCACCCCATGCCCCACGGACATCGGAGAGCCAGTTCTGGCGACCAGAGCCAGCAGAGGTAAAGCCTTGTGCCACAGTGCTACTGGTTTCTGACATCTCAGAGACTGACCGCAACTGCTGTCCAACAGAGCCAAGCACGTCTACTACCCACAGAGTGCGGTTCTAGTACAAACTCCCCTCTCCTGTCCTTGGAAGAGGAGGAGAATGCTGCATGTGCCCTTGCCTTTATAAAGAAAGGTGTGGATAATGTCAGTATTGTGAGGGGTTTTTTTGGTTTTTTTTTTTTTTTTTTGTTTAAACATGATACAGCCTGGAGAGAAGCAAGTAATGAATGCGGTATACAGGTCCTGTAAATAGTTATTTGTGTTTTCCTGCTTCTGCATAGATGGGGCCCAAGGATAGTGAGGGAAGCTAAGAGCACTGTCTGCAGTCCATACAGAGTGGATAAGGTTGTAAGTACAGGATGCGATGCTGGTTCTGGGCTGTGCCCAAGCCTCCCCCTGCAGTCAGGGCTATGGCCAGTGACTGCAGGCATCCAGGTGTTTGTGTGAAGCTTTTACCCATTAAGTTCTCCTTTGCAACCATCTGTAAATCTCTGCATCCTCTTCATCCCTTGCCTGCTGCCATGCCAGATGACTGTATTCCCCTTGAGTTTCCTGGAAATGAGTACAGGTGTGAGTCTGCTGAGATGGCAGGAGATCGGAGAGCTCAGCAGGGCAAAGCATTGCGGTGTCTCTGTGCCAAGACTTAAAACTGTCTTTACTTCATAATGAGGACTCTCCTCTCTCTTTGTAGTGAAGCACCTGGGGTTTGATGTGAAGAGCTTACTTAGACCATCCAGACCTCCCACACAAGAGGTTTGTATGGTACTGTTTTACACTTTTTTTTAAAAAAAACTTTAAAGACCCTAACACTCAAAACATGATATCGCTGATTGAAAATGTCCCCTTCACCTGCCTTATTTTTGCCTGTCTAACAACCCACTTTAGCATGGAAGCTTTGCACTGAAAATCACTACTAATTTCTGCTTAGGAATTTGAGCATTTGTTGGTATGTCAAGTGAAATGACCAGAGAGCAAGTCAGTAGTAGACAGGAATATAAATTCTAATTATCTGCCTCTTTTTGTATTCCACAAAACAAGACTGCTCTTCCACTTTCTCCTTAGGAAGTAAGGAATGTTCTCACAAAAACCTCAGTGCTCTGCTCCTCTCCAGCAGAGAGGATCAGGCATGTCATATTTTTAAAAGACTAATTATTTCTGTTATCCTTTGTTTCAGGATATAAGCATTGCATCAACACCTTTTAAAACAAAGTCAGCATCACTTTCCTCTCATATAGCAAAATCGCAGCACACTGGATCTCTTGTACAGATGGTCCAAACAGCTTCGTCATTTGGGGAACTGTCAGAGGCACTCAGAAAAGTTATTCTGTGGTGCAAAGGCAACAAATTCAAATCAGCAGCTTATTTTCTGCGTAACAAGTTGTTGAAAAGCAACCGGCTGCACCACGTGGAGGCTCAAGGATGCAGGTAATTTTGCATGGGTGTGGGATTTCTGGATTTGACACTTTACATTGCAGTATTATGTATTTTGCTACAGTGTAGAGAAACACAGAATTCTAACCCATTCTTTTAAAACTCAATGGGGATCACTAGTTCCGGTTACTGCACGCTCTGACATGAACATTCTATTTAGCATCAGTCATTTGTCAAAGGATTTAAAAGGCTAACAAATGCACAAATACTTAAGAGGGAGGATGAAAATGCAACTTAAATCATGTGCATGTTTAATGGTAACTATTTTGATGCAAGGGGTGTCGTCTTTCTTCAGAATGCCCTGGTCAGTATTGTACAACGTGCTGTTGTATCTCCTTGGTATGACAAGGAAAATAGTAGAGAAGGCTAATAACCAAACCTCTCCAAACCTCAAATGAAATAACACTTTAGCAGCTGATAAAGTTACGTTTTGTGCACCTTCTTCCCCTTAAGCTTGAAGAAAAAACTGTGCTGTGTCAAAACATCTGTCTGTAAATACCTCCTATATGGGTCACAAAATGCATGCTGGCCAAAGCAGTACCTCAGGGCACGGTTCTGTCGAAGGAGGAAATCATCCGCACGCTTGAAGAGAACTCTGAAGACTGCTCAGCAAAAACCTTCTGAGCTTTTTGGGGTCTGTGAGAACAGTGCATCACTCATCCTCCCAGCTTACCAGGATGGGCCTCCAAGCCGGGAAGAATGTTCCAATGCTGATACAGGCTGTGTCAAACTAAGCACAGCAGGGACCCCTAAGCAGCTGCTGCTGGAAGGAAGTCCTGGCCCTGTGTGGAAAGAAGCTACTGAAAACATGGATATTGATTCTATTTTTGCAGCAATGGGTGTCTGAACCTGGACTTGCAAGGAGGAAAGAGGTCAAGTCATTAAAATTTTTTTTTTTTTTTTAAGTAAGTAAAACCCTCAGAACCCTAATGATGTCTTGATAACTCACACCCTGAATTCTGCTAAGAAAGTAGCAACTCTTTTATTATGTTTTTGTTAAACAGCTTTTTTTTTTTTTATGGAAGGGTGTTCCAAACAGTTGAATAGTCTTCATCCTTTTACCTAGCATTGTCCAGGAACAGTGACTTTGAGTTACCCTTACTCAGTGTCCCTTCTCTATTGCTTCTCTATTGCTCTAACACATGTTAAGTGCTGCTGTTAAATCCACAGTGCGAATAGTTACCATCCATGGCAGAAGGCTGCAGCTGATCACTTACTGCTGCTTAGGATAAAAGACTTGCTTCCACTTTTCCAAGGAAGCAGTCTTACACCCTTCCTTCTGTGGGACAGCCTTGACTTGCTGTCCCAGTATTATCGCTGTTCAGCATTTGTTATCCTTATCCTGAAATGAGGAGTTAACGGAACGTGCTGCCTCTGAGCTGCTCCAGAAATAGGGGAAAGCACAGCTGTGGCCTGCAACAGTAAACTCCTGACTGGTGACCGTGTCTCTCAGTGTCCTGAAATCTTTTTAATGTAAGTGCAATTTCTGCCTGCTTGGCAATGTAAGCTGCAGCTACTCCAACATGTATTAATGAAATAATGTTAGAACAAGCAATGGGGTTAGTGCTTTCTGCCAGGCTCTTGCTTGTAACTAAGTCCCAAGATCAGGATCACCAGGAAATACGAAGAAAAAATTGTCTCGTAATGAAAAATGGGAATCTACTTTACTGTAGAGCACTGTCTAACAGAGGTAAGGAAAGGCTGTAAGTGCAAGTAAATCTGGAATAGGTTAACTTCAATTTCCTAGGCTTAATACTGGTATAAAACAAAAGAGCTGTGCCCATTGGGACAGAAGAAGAAATAACCTTCCTAGCCAATTAAGTGCTAAAACCCCTTACTATGCACCTTGTGTGAACTGATCAATGTAAGTTTAGTTATGAGGATTGGGCACAAACTTAAAATGTTTTATTCAAAGAGCATATACAGAGCAAAGAGCAGAACTACTATAGTAGTAGTTTGGCCTTGAAGACTCTGTCCAGTTAACCAAGATCCACTTTCTAGGTTTTCTGTCACAGGAATACCCAGCGATAACTGAAATAGTTCTAAAGAATCGTCTGTCATTAGCTCTCTAGATATCTGATTCAACATAGTCCTACTTCAAACAGACTTCCTGCCATTACAAGAATCTTTAGTGCTCTTTTCTCATTTCATAAAACAGTAGAAAAATATGTAAGTATACCACATACAATCAGAGAACATTCAGCTACTTGAATACTTTTCAGAAAAGGCTGGGAGCTAGGGCAGACATGCCAGCAGTGACCTCCATCCTGAATAACGCCTCCAAACAACACATGTAACATTCCTTCCTTTTGGGCAGCAGGTGCCCAAGTAATGCCCCAGTGCAGCCTGTGCACAGAATCAAGATCCGTAGTTCGCTTCATCAAAGGCCTTTCTGGCTCGTTTCAGTTCTTCGTTCATAGTTAGGAGGTCTTTAACTCTGGCAAACTTCCGGGGGTCCTTGCGGATTAGAAAGACAATGTCCTCAACCTGTACACGACCCTGCCGCCCAATTGACATGGCCTTGTGTGTCTGTTAGAGGAAAAGAGGAAAGTCAGCAGGGTTTCTTTGCCCCTTAATTTCTTTTAAGCTCTCAATTTCACTTTATTTCCTGTCATTTTATAATCAAAAAAGCAAGCAATTGCAGGATCTGGGCACCACCATCCTAGTTGCAAGAGAACTTCCCAGTAAACCATGGAGTTACTGTCGCTCTGCTGCCCCCAGCTGCCTGTCACTTACACCCAGCGTGTACCACTATATACACATAATAGTGATGACATCAAAACTAAAGCCAGCTTACATGTAGGGCACCCAACCTGCAGAGTGCTTGAAGATGAATAGCATCAGGCAGAATGTGGAAGCAATGTGAAGTACCTGTATCACAGGACTGTTTAGGGCATTTTGATGAGGGAAGCCAAGGCCATCCTTTCAAAAGAAAGGGGATCCACAAACAGTAGGAATAACTTTTTTCAGAAAACAAAACAAACTTTCAAACAGTATGCAAATGTCTGGAAGAGTGATGGCTTCAGGCCCCAGAAGCTTGCATTTCTTTTGTAGCACAGAGCTACGTTCCCATCCACGTAAAGACAGTGGGAGTACACAAAAAGTCGACAGACTTTCAAAGCTGAGCCTTGTCTTTTGTCAGCTGCACATACAGTGATGCCACAGTGAACCCCAAAGTCAGCCTTGTATTCCCCCCACTAATACTAATCTAACTGCTAGTTACGGACTTCAGACACTGTTCTAAATCCACATGGCGCAAGATGCATGAATTTTGCCTTAATCTTGGAATAGCAAAGTCTAAGTTTAGATTTTTCCCACTAGTGTCAGAGTTTTGGGCCTGGGATAACGCAGTATTTGAGTCAGAGGTATTAACCTTCAGAAGACTAAACTCTTAGCAAGGATGTTTTGTCCATGCTGTCTAGAGCTGACTTACCATTTCTGTGATAAACTCTATTACCAGGTCCTCAAGAATGTCCACTGATTCTGTGTAAGGGTTCTGGTCATCCCCGAAGCCATACATCATGCACCTTACTGCAGAAAGAAACAGGCAGCGTCAGCCTTCTTTCATCTATTCAGCGCTGTCAGCAGCATGCGTCTCGTTAGAGCACAGCAGCCTACACACTCACGTGCCATGATGGCACCCTGGTCTGCTGGGCAGGACAGTTCTCGAGCAAACACACAGGAAATAAGCAGGTAGGCAGAAGCCAACAAAAGCCTAGTGCCGTATATACAGAAAAGCATGTCTCGTGACAGACTCTTTAAGTATGCATTTAGCCTGCCAAATACTGAACACCGACTAATAGTGCGACAGACCTTTGGCACAGTTAGGTTCAGAGGATGCATTAGCAGTATTTTTTGGGGGGTTTGCACGACAGGTTTCTGTGCTTTCAGCCAGGGCACAGAATGAAAGGCACTGTATTGCTAGGGAAAACTGAGTTTTGGAACTCCATAGCTGCCTCCTCACAGTTTCAGCCGCGTTTGGGGAAAGGACATCGTCCTTAGC